CCCACCCAGCACCTAGAGGCATTCACCCATCTTTCACCATTGTACATTTCAAATATCCAACTATAATGATTCGCATGGCTGCAATATTTTTAATTTTTAGTTTACATTGAAAATTTATTTAAAAACTGCCATATTATTAAACTTTGAAGGAAAATGTATTAAAATTCTTCTTGAATTGTGGGGTGAGACTAACACTTAAAATATTCCATGACACTGTTGTCTTGATAATTCATAATGTATTTACATCCATAAACTGTTATACAAGTACAACTGGAGAAGTCAATTTAAACCATCTAAAGCACTACAGGGCAACAACTCTTAAAAATTTACAAAATGATACACAAAACTGAGAACAGTACAATCATCTTAGGATCATCCTCCCCCTACTGAAGCTTAGCAACCGAGGATGACAAACCCCAACGATCCAACATAAAGCAACATATACACTTACACTATCTATATACATCCACACCACATCAGAACCAACCCGAGCCACCAAACTACCATCCATCATTGTTACTAAAAAACTCCTGCAGAGAATAAAAACAGTTTTGTAATAAATAACTTTTTAATTTATTTTTAAAAACATTAAAATTTTCTGTTTATTTTAATTTTTATGTATGACATGAAGAATTTAAAAACATACTAAAGTGATGCGTGGCACATTACTTTCACGTTCATAAAAGGTGTTTGTTTGGTCAAAGTTACAAACGAGATTATTCTATAAGTCAAAAAGTTTGCTCCCTGAAGATATGAATAAATGAACATGAACTTGCCTATATATGTTCAGATTTTCAGTAGTTTTTAGTGTGTGAATTTTGACATTTATGACTGTAGACTCACTCATTTTATGTAATGGATCATGGTCCATAAATTTGCTTCTGTTTATGTATTTCCTACTATTCAGATATGTCTACATTCCAGCAAATCATAAAATTGGAACATGAATGAACATGGAGATTTCCGTTATTTATTAATGCACATTAAATCATAAAGTTACAGAATATTTCATCTTTCATCAAGAATGTGTTATGAATCCAAGACAGACTTATAATATGGAGATAAACTGACATATAGATGTGCTGTTTTTTCCCAATATATGTAATGATATGAAGATTAATATTTGATTGAGTTCTTAAAATTACATTTCAGTTTTGTCTTGTATGTAAATGGTGAACGGACTGTAACAGACATCACAGCAAATGATGGTTCCTGGCATTCTCTTTGTGTCATGTGGCATTCCTCAAATGGAGAATGGAATATCTATATTGATGGGAAACTTGGTGATAATGGAACAGGTCTAGCCAATGGAACATTCATCCCAGGTAAAGAAGAATCATGGAGAATTATCTATAGAGACAACACCTTATTTTATAAGATCTTAAAGTTTGCATAATATTAATCAAAGTCCTATGATGAAATTTTTTGTATTGTTCACTAATCACAGATAGAAGGTTCATGGCAAATAGACAAGAGTCATATTATTTGGCAAGGACCATGAAAATAGAGGTAGTATATTCCTCTGAAATGTCTGTTGACTTTCACCAGACGACATGGCATTATATCCCAGAAGACAGAAGTATTCAAGCACAAGAAAGTTGCATAATTAATCAATACAGCAATCTCACTAACAATCTGGAATTTTATGTAGGGGTCATAAAAAAAATACATGTTGCTTTTAAGCATACCACACCATGACGGAACATGCCGCCCACTAATTGTAACGGAGAACAGATCACTAATGGAGCTGATAACTGCTACCTACTACTGACAAATCATAAACAAACTCTCACACATGAACAGCACTGATAGCCATGAAGCTTAATGCCATCAAGCGGTCTACAAGTTAATTACTTTCCTTCATTCCAAACATTATCAATTGATTAATCAGTAAAATTTTTATGGGCCTTGCAGCAAGCAGCACACCACTTGCCATGAATTGCAGAGCTGTGAACTCATCAAGTTACTAAAAAAAGACCCTGTACATATACCTATACATAAGAGAATGTCATTTTAGAGGATCAGTGATAGAAATGTGTTTACCGTCTGTCAGCAGTTCGGTAATAGAAATTACCTTCTAATATTATAACAAGATATTTTCCCTCAATTACAAGAAAAACGGTATGGAGATGGTTAACTATTGCCTTTCAAAGTTTTCTGTTGTGTTGAGCCATGCTGCTTTCAGGAAATTTTAAGTGAGACTTCAACATAGAGAGATTTAGGAACATTTGGTTAAGTTAGTATCACTAAGGACAAATTGTTAGGAGTTCAAAATAGCTCAGCAGGTGCATACAAAACTTATACCTCGTTGTATAAATATAATCAGTTCTGTGGCTACTATTCTATTTGAAGGTGATGGAATACTTATACTGGGTCAGGAGCAGGATCTGTTGGGCAGTGGTTTTAATGAGGCTGAGTCCTTCATGGGATACCTCTCCAATGTTGCCATGTGGGATTATATTCTCCAAGGGACAGATGTTTGGTATTTAACAATGCTTTGTGGAGTACCTTCCAGAGCTGGCAACATCTTCATATGGACAGACTTCTTGGATGGAATTCATGGAGATCTGAAAGTATGTAAATTTTCTGTGTTCTTATTTTACCTCTTCACATTATGACATTTAGCAGACAGTGGTGTTCCTAGAGCTGTTCATTATTAAGTATTCCTTGCACAATGTGTAAAAAATAGGCATGTAAGAGAGGTCATGTCTCCCTGTCCATCTGTCTCTTGTTCCGTATATTTCAGGCCAAGAACCACTGGATAGATTTGGATGAAGTTTTATATGAAAATTGTATCATTGAATGTAACAGAAAAACTCCTGCTTTTTGATTTTGTATGGTTGGTATTAAAAAGAAATAATATTTCCCAGAGTTAATATACTTTAATACAGTTTTAGCAGCACATAATTATTCTAAAGCGACTAAAGCTGATGTAGAAGTAGTGTTTTGTTCATTGATGTCCACATAATTATTAAGTATGGTATGCCTGGAAGTGTGGTAGCTCAGTTGGTATAGTGTCTAGGCTATGGGCTGGACATCTAGGGTTCAATTTCTGTCAAGGGCAGAGACTTCTGTCTTTGCACTGTATCGAGTCCAGCTCTGGGTCTCGTCCAGCTTCCTGTCCAATGTGTAGCAGGAGCTTCTTTTCTTGGGTAAAATTTCCAAAGCATGAAGCTAAGTGTTCACGTTCTTGTAGAACTGAGGTTAAAAATATGGCTGCGCCATAGCTCAAGCGGATAGTCGCTTGCTTCCCACCGCGGCAGACTGGGTTAGATCCCAGGTCTGGTCAAGTGGGATTTGTGGTGGACAAAGTGGGGCTGGGACAGGTTTTCTCCAAGTACTTCGGTTTCCCCTGCCAATCTTCATTCCACCAAATTCTCAATCATCAAAATCACAGGCTACAATAGGCCAATTAGTGGCGGCCATGCCTAGTGGACCCAGTTGGACTCCACCCCCCACTAAGTGAATTAAAAAATTAATTAATTAAGGTTATAAATATATATCACTATACCTTCTTTCTCCCCATGTCTTCATGGCATGGTACTGAATTAAGAACAGGGACACATTTGCCTCTTCTGTACCTGGAAACAAGGAATAGCAAACAGCATGATTTTGAAGTTTCATAATGTATTGCTTTTTTCTTAAATAAAATGAACTCTCTTCAATGACAGAAATTCTAAAATATGAGTAATAATTTCATTTCTCGGTTGCCAAAAAATTTTAATCCCAGTTGATAGGTGTCTCAACCACAACATGATAAACACATACAGAAACATGTTGTGACCATGACAGGTTTAATAAGTACTACAGTGATATGAAAAGTTTGTTAAGTGAAGAATGCTTCAGTTTAGTAAATGNCACATCTTCATATCTACAGTTTCATCTTAGAAACTACTGATAGGATATTTATAACACAGTGCACTGTTAGGATTCGACATAAAAATTATCGGGAGAATTCGATTTTGTAAGATTTGAGGTTTTCACGGCGGATACTATGAAGAAAGCAGTCTTCTGGGATGTGGCACTGTGTAGATTTGGTGTTAACCGACGTTTTGAAGGAACGTCGGTTAACACCACATCTACACAGTGCCACATCCCAGAAGACTGCTTCTTCAACATAATAATGGTTCTCTTTCTTACTATTCTGTTTCAGATAGAAAACTCTTCATTCTGTATGGACTGTGCTACTCCAGTAGCTCCATTCCATGGAAATGTGAGTGTATCAAGTGCAGGTACTGTTGCTGTATATACCTGCAACCTGGGGTTTTCTCTGAGGTGGGGGAGCACAGAACACTCAACAATAGAGAGGAAGTGTCTGAAGCAAGGTGTCTGGGAGGGTCCAACTCCATTCTGCATACGTAAGAATGCCACCCCTTTCTAAAAGACTTTATTAAATTATTTTGAACATTTCAGTACAAAGCCATCTGTAAGGAACTGTCTGTTCATCACCTTTGAAACGTGGTATTTTTTAATAATCAGTCTCTTATACTGAGTTTACTGAATTTAAAAATATTCAGTCATGTTATAGACGGTGTCACGTAACTTCGAACAAGGCCCCGCATTCCTAGTCAAATCCTGCGTGTAGCTTGTGGTGGGAGGAGTTTCTTAACACTCGTTCTTCCACTGGCCGCCTGTCACTTCTCATACCCTCCACCCCCTTGTCTGAAATTTTTTTTCTGCACATTCAAGGTTACTCTTGGCCTTGTTCGAAGTTACGTGACGCTTGCTATAGAAATGTAAGATCCTTTCTTGTAACAGGGAGAAGCTGTGGTTTCCCAGGATACTTCCCTCATGGTGTGGTCCGTGGACGGTCATACCGTTACACTGATACAATTCATTATTATTGTAATCAGGGGTACAAGCAAATTGGTGCTCCTGTTCGAGTATGTATGGCCAATGGCAAATGGAGTGGGGAAATTCCAGTTTGTGAAGGTTGGTATGATTGTAGACCATTTTTGTAATGAAGCTATGATCTTAATTCTTGGGAGTATGTGTGAAATATTTCCATGGTTTTCAAAACAAATTTTTATTGACATGGACTATACAGAACATTTCAGATTTATAAGTGGAATGTTGTGTAGTGATGGTGATAGACTATCATACCCATGTCTTTCAGAAAATCTGACTCATGCATTCAAGCCATTTTCCTGTTTCTTGTACACTGTGTGCTACAACATTGTGGTACCACTGTAATCCTTTGTTGTGGCACATGAATGGGAACACAAACACCAGCTTTACTCAGCTAAACTGTATTCATTCAGCCATATTGGCCAGTATGCAATAGAATACTAAAACAAATAGTGTCAATGTTAGTCCTAGGTTGGACATTACAATAGCCCTTCAGACTTTTGCACCTTATGTTTGTAAACTTTGTAGAATGTAAAATAATAACATGGTTACCACATAAAATCTATATTTACATTAAACGTCTATGTATTTAGTCTGTCAATAATGCAACAATCATTAAAATATTAAAATATTCACCATTCAACACCAACATGACATGTTTCAGCCACAGATGATCATCTTCATGTGTTTCAATGCATCTAAACTGTTACATTGTTTTGATGCATGCTAAAATTGTGCGTTATAGTCTACTTAAATTATAATCTATCGTAAAATTTTATCTACCTCGTAAGGGGCGTCGTCCACTTGTTTAAAGCTATGTGATGCGTGTATTCCAGACAGTTTGTTTCAGCAGCTATGTCTGTGATGTGCAATATGCCCCTTGTTTGCGTATTGTTCCCTCGGACATTGTGTGGTGTTGTGAAGACGCTACAAGAATTGTAGGAATTACAAGATTCTCAAAACTGTTAAAATGGAACAGTTTTATAAAGACCACTCATTTTATTAATATTAGGTATCCTTTGTTTTACAAACACTTGATTTATGAATTTTTGCAACAATGAAGTATATTAATGTGTATCTGTTTTTCACTTAATGACCTTAATTTTCACTACAATGAACAACTTATGTTCATTAATTTAAGCAACTTTTACATGTAAAGTACCTGGAAATGTCATTTTCAGTGCACAGATTTTCATGGTACAACCAGTTTTTATGGAATGAACTACCTTCACAAATCAAGTGGTACTGTATAATAAACAGAGGTTAGTCCTTGCTTTTGCTTTGATGTTGGTAACTGGAAGGGGGCACACAGTAGCATAGTAGGTTGACTCACTATGCTATGTGCTGGCAGGTCACAGAATCAATTCCTGATGAGGTTATTGGATTTTTCAATTGACCCAATCCATCCAGCCACACTATGACCCTGGCATCAACTCAGTCTCTAAAACAAATGTGTACGAATATTCTTCCTGTGGGTAAAGGGTGGGCAGTGTGTAAGGCTGACAACCTTGCCGCTATCTGTGAACCGATTGTCTAGAGAATGTGGGAGCCTTGATGTCCCACAGCCTGTTACAGGGATAGTTTTTTTAAACTAGAATAACTATATATATTTTTTTTATTGCTAGTGGGGTGGGACTAAGTCTCTTATACTGCCACTTCTGGCCTATTGTACCACCCCAGATGATAGGTGAGGGTGATTGTGGAGCAATTGGTGGAATAAAGATTGGCAAGGGAAACCGAAGTACTCGGAGATAACCTGACCAAGCGCCACTTTGTCCACCACAAATCCCACTTGACCAGACCCGGGATTGAACCTAGGTCACCGCGGTGAGAAGCCAGCGACTAACCGCTTGAGCTATGGTGCGGCCTGGAATAACTATATTGCTAAGAACATTGCTTCATATTGTTTGGATATACAATTATGAAAATCCTGTACTTCTTAGAGTTCTTACATTTTGTGGTTGTCTGTGCTTGGTTATCAACGCTTTCTTTCCCAACCTTCACTCTTTTACTAGAATTCAAACTGTTCAATGTAGGTAAGACATGTGAGGCCCTTGAACCTCCAGCCAATGGGAGAGTGAGATCTCTGCTGCTAGAATCAGGTGATGCCCAGTGGAACGAAAGCATAGTACTGCAGTATGGTCACCAGGTAGAGGTGGAATGTGATGTAGGCTTTCAGTTGGAAGGAGCCAGCATACTTACATGCCTTGAAGATGGACAATGGGATGAGACTGTTCCCTTCTGTCGCCCCAAAGGCTGCAAGAGCCCTCCATTGTAAGTGTTCATGTTAACCAGTTTACTGCTAACCCTAAATATGTCTGTAGCCAAGATATGGCATGTGCAACATTAACCTCAGATATAATGATTTTAGATCCATGGTTTATGCTGACCGTCTTCCACACTACATGTTTCAGCACTAATGTGCCATCTTCAGGTGTCTTTATGCATGTTACACTATTGTACTGCATGCCATAATGTCTTCATTCTAAAATGACTAAAATCTGTTTTCGTCATATAGGACGATGAATTCTAAATAATAAAACTTTTCAGGATTCTTCTTACGTCGCACTCAAACACGCGAATTATGCCAATCCTCTTTTATGTGAGCATTCTTCCTACATATATTTGTGTATCGTGTTCTGTGTTGTGTCTTGCTCCTATTACTGCATGCGTTGTACTGCATTTTAGATGGTTCTGACATTCACTTTGTCTTCTGTAAGATGTAACTCCCCGGGGTAACTTATCTGGACCATGAAAATTATCACTCACCTCTGCCAAGTGTGCCAGTTCATGCAGGTTGTGCATATAATTTTATCCTTATGATTGTTGCATAATCAGTGTGCAGTACATGGCACAAAGCATTATGTTCATATGCAGTTTTATGTAGAAACTAATTGTTGATGGATTGGCATTGTAGCATCTAACACTTCTTCTTAATTGTGTGCATAGGCCACACCATAGCTCAAGCTGTTAGTTGCTGGTTTCCCACTGCAGCGGCCCCGGTTCGATCTCGGGTCTGGTCAAGTGGGATTTGTTGTGGACAAAGTGGCGCTGGTGCAGGTTTTCTCAGAGTACTTCAGTTTCCCCTGCCAATCTTCATTCCACCAATTGCTCCACAATCACCCTCATCTATCATCTGGGGCTGGTACCATAGGCCAGAAGTGGCTGTAGTACAAGGGACTTAGTCCCACCCCACTAGCAATAAAAAAAATAATTGTGTGCATTGCTCTTGCTATGGCTAATATGTTCTGTTTGCATTAAAGCACATGTTTTATTTTTTTTTCAGATTATATTATACCACTGAAAAGGTACAGTCTGTAGGGTTCCCTCTAATCTGGATACTAACACTTGTACATTACATAGCCTCATTAGTATATCATACCATCTCATTTTGTTGTGAATTACTTTGCTATCAGAAGTAATGTCAGCTATTAGCAAATGCAGTATGAACTCTGTCATTTGAATATAAATGCTCCACTGTGCAAACATGCAAAAAAATCAATACAATTATCAACTTGTCAGACATTATTTATCATTTTCTTTTGTTTTACCAACAACTTTTTGGAGACTGGATTCTGTCTCTGTCCTCAGGTAAAATTCTACTCAGTTGAGCCCAGTCAATAAACATAGTCCTTATCTCTGTATCCAGAGGTTAACATACCGGCATCACAAAGTTTTAGATCTTAGCAAAACAATTAAGATCAGAAGTTTAAATGCCATAACTCTAAAATAGTGGTGATTAGACAGCACTTTCTTTTTTAAATATTATGTTGCAACATTATGTTTTGTTTTATTCATAGGTGTGTAAGGGAGCTTTCGTCACACAACTATTGCATGCAGTTGAATTAATCAATTATGTACAATCAGGTCACACAGTATCATAGTTGGTTGAGGCACTATACTACAAGCTGGAAGGTTGCAGGTTTTAGTCCTAATGAGTTCATTGGAGTTTTTTCAATTTATCTAATCCTTCCAGCCACACTATGGCTATGGAGTCGACTCAGCCTCTCACAAAAATGAGTACCAGGAATCTTTCTGGGGGATAAGGGATGGTAGGTGCATAAGGCTGACACCACCATCCGTGAGCTGAGCATCTAGAATATGTGACAGCCTCGACATCTCACAACCCTATGGGCCTTCACAACTTGTTACAGGGATAGCTTTACCTTTTTACCTTTTACAGTTCTTTATTATCATAACATGTTTATATTTGTTTACATTTTTGCTCCAAATTGTCTCCTCATAAACATCCTATATTTTGAAGAAAGTTGTCTTCTGGGTTTAGGCACCGTGTATTGTTCGTTTTGGCCGACGTTTCGGAGGAACGTAGCCCCTCCATCTTCAGAGCAGAGCTACTGCTCTCCGCATTCCAAGCCATTCAACTGCTCTGAAGATGGAGGCGCTACGTTCCTCCGAAACGTCGGCCAAAACGAAGAATACACGGTGCCTAAACCCAGAAGACGACTTTCTTCATTGTCATCGCCGTGAAAACCTCAAAACTTACATCCTATATTTTGTTCATAGGATGCTGAATCACTTTGTATATTTTTAAATTTAGTGTGACTATAAATGATGAGTTCAGATGTACTGAGGAAAACTACAAAATATCTCACAATGGCTCGTCTGTGGTCTGAAATTAGAACTCTTAAGACATCCAAAGTACATGATATTATGTGCTTTTCACGTTTCTTTTTCAGAATATCCCATGGATTTGTCACAGACTCTCATACAAATATATCAGTAATAAATTCCACATCAAACTATTATAACAGAAAAATATTTTCAGTATATGATGACAGAAACAGTGAAGGTGAATATGAAACTGATGAAGTGGTGTATGATTTTGGGAAACAGTTAACTTACAAATGTGAGACTGGCTATATTTTCCATCATGAAGGAGAGAGCTCAGAATTGCAAATTACATGTGAAGAAAATGGTGCCTGGAAAGGTGAAACAACTGAATGTGTAATGATTGAATGCCCCACACCTTTACCATTAGAGCATGGTAAGGTAACAATAAGAAATAGTAACAGTGTTGCTGCAAGTGACAGAAGACAAAATACATCAAATGTACCACATGATGGGCTTGTTTATTTATATGGCAGTGAGATCGAAATGGGTTGTGAGGTGGGGTACAGACTGACTGGTCCAAGCATTCTTGAATGTATGGAAAATGGTAAATGGTCCTTCCGAGAGTCACAGTGTGAACGTGTAAAATGTAATTTGTCAACACTTGTTCTGTATTCTGATGCACCCACGCCTATCACGGAAAATGGCTCTCTCAATATCGGTGGTAATTTCTATGGTGACTTAGCAGACTTTACGTGCAAATCTGGCTACAGACTCACTCTTCCCATGTTCGCTTCATCATGGTCTCTGATGAAACTTACATGGACATGCCAATTGAATGGTTCCTGGGTGTTGTTCAACAACATTGATACTGGAAGTGAATTTATGGATTCCATTTTGAAGACAGGTCAGGCTCTGTGTCAACCTTTCCAGTACAAATGCCCCGAGCCCAAGGTAAGATATCATAGCCACTGAAGATATCAGAATATGTAATGTTTAATTTTTGTTCTGATTTACTGACTTGAGATATTCTGCTGCTGGGGAAGTTTCCTTTTAAATTTCTACAAACATTACCCATATGAACTGCTCCTCAAGTTAATACTTTCTTGTCCTTTTAAATTTATTTACAGTAGTACTAATAGCTTAAAGGTATTTTTAGAAGCTGTCAGCACAACAACTGATTGATTATGAAACTGATATTAGGATGTTAATACTCAGTTTTATTATCTGTATCTTACTGTGTGTTTTGAACTGCATAGAATGTCATCAGGTGGTCCTTGAATACAGATCTTTTGTCATAAATGTCAGTTAAAATGGTTCAATTTTTTATATTTTATTTTTATCAATAAAAACAATAATATTGTAGCATATAGACCCATTGCTAGGTAGTGACTGTGAGATAGGTGACTGTACAATGACTGTTGCTAGACAGCAGCCATAAACAGCAGAGGAATTATAAGCAGGACAACGGTGAGAATTAGTGGCGTGGAATGAGTTGGTTGGTGAATGTGTTAGTGAGATAGAAAACCGCTGCACTGCTGCAATTCAGTCCTCGTAATTTGTTGCTGTGAGAAGCTGGTAGCTGAGGCCGGGGATAGTTCAAGAAAAATATTATTGTAGCATGTAGACCCATTGCTAGGTAGTGACTGTGAGATAGGTGACTGTACAGTGTCTGTTGCTAGACAGCAGCCACAAACAGCAGAGGATGATGTTTCCTGTGCAGTCCATGCCGAGATGTTATAAGCAGGACAATGGTGAGAATTAGTGGAGTGCAATGAGTTGGTTGGTAAGTGTGTTAGTGAGTGAAATAGAGAACCGCTGCACTGCTGCAATTCAGTCCTCGTGATCTGTTGCCGTGAGAAGCTGGTAGCTGAGGCCAGGGATAGATCAAGAACCCAGAGATAGGGGAACATCTCCCATTGGAAGCCACTACCAATCAACGGCTAGTGGAGACTATAACAAACTAAGAATATTGGTTTGTGTGTGATAGCAATTCATAAAGTGTAGTCACAATTTCTGTGTTAAAGTGTCCAGTGAATCCAATAGCCAGTCCAAAATCTTCTGTGGCCACACTCTGTCATGTGACAGTATTCATGAATGAGATATGTTATATTGTGAAAGGCTAAAATCAAGTAGCTTCAGTAATTGAGGTACAAATTTTTATAGGGATTAGTAAAAGGGGGGTTAGGGTGTATTTAAGGTGTTGGTTGATGTGTGTTATAGGAGAGCCCTGCAGTTATAGGTGTGTTTGGTGTTCCAGATGTTTTTTGGTGTGTGAAGGAGTGTGGTGATTAGTCAGCCCAAGGATATTCTGATACTGTGAATAGCTAAAATTTCTTATCAATAAGTATCAGTCCAAATTTCCTGTTAAAGAATAATGTATTAATGAGCAATTTTGAATTTACTATTATATGGTATAAAGAATTATAATATGTTCAAAACGTTATTTATTAGATCACATTTTTAATGGAGAGTTTTAACTTAATTTTTTCCGTCTTCATTTATGTTGACATAAATTTATTCACAATATAATCTTTATTCTCTGTGTCCCTCTTTCAGGAGCCTGATAATGGGTATATCCTGAGGGATGAATCATCTAAAAATTTGACCGTAGGCAGTACCGTGAAATTCAAATGTCGACTGGGCTATATTCTTCATGTTTCGAATATTTCCACCTGTCAAGATGGTGGACAGTGGAGTTATGACAACACAACATGTGCTCGTAAGTACCACACTGAACTGCAGTTCATTATTATCTTGGCGTGTTGTTTGTTATGCTTTCATGCCATTTCTTCGGTGGCCTTCCTGAACATCTCTTCTCCCTAAGCTTTCATGCCATAATCTGTTTTAGTATCCTGTTCTTCTTAGATGTTATTTCATGATCTGCACCTTTGTATAAATTTGATGGCTGTTCAGATTTTCTGGTATCTAATATGAAGAAAGCAGTCTTCTGGGATTTGGCACCATGTATATGTGGTGTTAACCGACGTTTCGGAGGAACGTATCGCCTCCATCTTCAGGGTAGAAGAAAAAATATAAGAATTCTGCAAGCGGAGAGACCGTGAGAACCGGTAAAAGCAGACTCTCACGGTTCTCACGGTCTCTCCGCTTGCAGAATTCTTATATTTTTTCTTCTACCCTGAAGATGGAGGCGATACGTTCCTCCGAAACGTCGGTTAACACCACATATACACGGTGCCAAATCCCAGAAGACTGCTTTCTTCATAGTCACCGCCGTGAAAGCCTCAAATCTTATATAATATGTCTTCATTTTGGTTTTTATATGTAACCTCAAACTTGCTTCATAAATGTAATTTCAGATGCTAGTTATGTCCTTCTATGTGCTTTTATAATCATCTGATCATTACATCCATGTACGAGTATGAGTCTGGCCAAAGTTTTATAAATATTATCTAGAATATTTTTGTGTTAATGAAGGTTTGATTACCTGTGTATTGATCACTTTACTTGTACAGATTTTATATCTTTGTTCATCACAGCTGTGCAGTGCCAAAGTCATCCTGCCCCATATCATACAGAGTTGGTCAATGTTGCTAAGGAGTATGTATATGGTAACATGTTGAACTACCGCTGTAAGGAAGGCTACCAGGCATTTGGTGTTCTGGTATCTCGCTGCCTTGCAACTGGCAAGTGGTCCCGAGTTCGAGGAAAATGTACACGTAAGAACTTTTCTACATACTGTAATATTATATAATATTTTTTAAAGAAAATTTAATTTCTCAGTTACAGAATATCCTTAAAGCTGTCAGTATTTTCAGTAAGAAGAGTAAAGATAAAAGAGTAAAGCTACCCCTGTTCCAGTCCGTGGAGGCCCATAAGGCTGTGAGACGTTGAGGGTCCCACATTATCTAGACATTCGGCTCACAGATGGCGGTAAGGTTGTCAGCCTTACGCGCTGGCCACCCTTTACCCCCAGGAAGATTCCTGGTACTCATTTCTGTTACAGGCTGAATTGACCCCAGGGCCATAGTGCGGCTGGAAGAATTAGGTATGAATGCATGTATAAGGGGTGGGCCTTCTCGGCCCTTGCACCGCGACCTACAGTGATGTATTGTGCTTGAGGATTAGGTAAATTGAAAAAATCCACCTCAGCTGGACTTGAACCTGTGACCTTCCAGCTTGTAGCATAGTGCCTCAACCAACCATGCCTCCATGTGCCCCCAAGAAGACTAAAGATAACAAGACAAGTCAGTTCTGAACAGTTAAAATATCTAAAATGTATAAAAAGAATTTGGATTTTCTTTTCTTTATTGACTCCAGGGTTCTCATTAACATCATGAACTAAATGGGCAGAGTCACATTGTATGGCTTGGCACTTCAACAACACAGACATAAGCAATAATATCATTGTTTTAATAGTATGTCAATAGTTTATTTGAGGATGGTGTCACTAGCTTAGATAATATAATGTCAAATAACAGAATTATTAGTGAATAATGAAATAGAAAGAAAGCATAAGGAAGTAATGATGGTCCAATATGAAGTATTATTCCATAATTTTGCCTGGAGGGATTGAGTAAGATCATGAAACGCGTCAGTGAAAATAACTGGTCTCCAGGCCATAATTCAAACCTGGAATCCCCCTAAGAGTTTGGTATTTAGAAATTCAAGCATCACCTTCAGCACATATTCACAGATCTGCGACAGATGCTTTTCTCCCTGTTTTATACAAAACAGGTTTAAGGAATGCGATAAGAAGCACTACATTTTAAAACCCTGGTTAAACTTTATTCAGTTCTACCCAGAACATTGCGGGTTCGATTCCCAATGAGGTAATTTCATTTTTCAACTGACCTAATCCTTGCAGCCATACTATGGCCCTGGGTTGAGTTAGCCTCTAATGGAAATGAGTACTAGGAATCTTCCTAGGGCATAAAGGGCGGCCGGCGTGTAAGGCAGACAACTTCATCATTACATGTGAGCCAACCTGGAAGCCTCAACATCTCACAACCTGGTGGGCCTGCATGGCCTATTGCAGGGATAGCTTGGCCTTATCTTTAACCACCTATTTTTCTGTTTGCTTTCAAAGCTGAATTTTCTTGGATCTGATCTCAGGTTTTAAAAAACCATTTGCAATTGTATGCTGGAACAAATGTGAAACAAAAGATGTTTAATATTATTCAGTGCATGGAATTGATTATGGAAGGAGTTTGGATAATGTATCCTTAGTTAAATATAAATCATTTGAAGATTAATATAAGGAAACAAAGAGAACAGTGGATGGGTACAGTGCTTGATCTTAGAAAGGAACATAATTATCCTCATTTATTTACTGGGATATAATCGCATCACAAATGGGTTTATGACAAATTATACCAAAATTCTGTTTTCATAGCTTTGCATTCAGAATTATCGTTTTTTGTGATTATGATTAATTCTCATAGGTATTTCATGTGGCAAGCCGCCTGTACGTAATGGTGCAATAATTCTTGGAGCATCTTACCTTTATCAGGACCAAGTGGTATACAGTTGTCCACCCGGTAAGTTGCGACTTATGGTATGGATCAGTGCTAGTAGTTTATGATATGAATTGAACATTACTGTTCAAACTGATAAATTTAATATCTTGTAGTTATGGGGAACTAATGAAGTAGACTGTTCTGAATTCTATTTTATGTATTGGAATCTTGTACTGCAGAATTTAGTGTAACAGGGACTCATGTTTGACAGCAGAATCCTATGTTATAATCTGATATTCTCTCCTTGTATGTAATCACCTTGGCTTCTTTTATACATTATGGCATGAAAACTTAACATCATCTAAATTGTCATGATCTATATCCAAATATCAAAAGTAAATTCAGTATTCTGGACAATCTAACAGTGCTTTGCCAGGGCAGTGTTTATGTCAATGGCTGAAAGTGAGACATCTTAGGAAAGGATCTTTTTAATAAACTGAGTAAATGTGATGACCAAGGCCTGGATTTTGATGACATGTCATCTTTTTTTTCATTGTATCCTATGTGATGCTCTTAAATATATAAATCTCAGATATGAGCTGCTGGTTACAGAAATGTAAATTTTATAGATAATTTTTTGTCATTTTTTTACATTTTTAGGTTTAAGATCATTTTTTCATTTTGGGAGTAAATTTGGTAAATTTTTGGACTTTTAAGGGTATTTCTTGTCATTTTTGGCAGTCTTCTTACTGATGTAGTGTATTATATGTACTATATTATTAAATGTTTTCCTAGTATAGTTAAGTCTTGCGCAAGACTCTTAGGATTTCAAAAGGATGCTGCTTCTTTCTCAGGACCTTATTACTGACTTTTGTATGCCTGTTAGTCCTTCTGTATTTTATGTCCCAGCCGCTAAATAGACAGTCATTATGGAATCAAGGCTTCAAATGGTGTGCTTGCATGTTGCATTTCTTTCCTACCACAATGATATCTATGCCATGTGATACAGATGGCAGTTGAAACAGTCATTTAGTTGTACTAGAAAACACAAATACAGTATTGTAACATTGCTTACTCAGTTTGTATTGTGTTATCTAGCATAAAAAAACTGCATAATAAGGAGCTTTATAACTTTTACTCTTCTCCAAGTATAATTAGAATGATCAAGTCAAGGCGGATGAGGTGGGCAGGGCATGTAGCGCAAATGGGGGAGATGAGGAATGCATATAGGATATTGGTGGGAAATCCAGAAGGAAGGAGACCACTGGGAAGACCAAGGCGTAGGTGGGTGGACAATATTAAAATGGATCTTAGAGAGATAGGATTGGATGGTATTGATTGGATTTATCTGGCTCAGGATAGGGACCAGTGGAGGCATCTTGTGAACACGGTAATGAACCTTCGGGTTCCATAAATTGCTGGGAAATTCTTGAGTAGCTGCAGAATTTGCGGCTCCTCCAGAAGGGCTTAGCTCCATGAGTAAGTAAGTAAGTAAGTATCTAGCATAAAAGATAAACTTACCCATAGAGGAACCCCCGTTTAGTATTTCTGGGGAATTTAAGGTTTTTCCCTCATTTACTGTTCAATTTCAGTGACCCAATGAAATAGCTTCGGTATTAAATTGCAGGCATTTATGATCTTGCTGAGTTTAGTGTTCAAATGTGTTACTCCCCAAAACAACCTTAAACTGTGATCTCAATGTATTTTTTTCAGGAATGAAAGTAAGTTCTCATCCTGTCATCACATGTCTAAGTGATGGAACTTGGAGTGGGAACCCAACCTGTGAGAAAGTCTGAAGGGAATGTTGGAAAGGAGGCATTCATTTTTTCTGAGTTGCTGCAATTAATTTCTGTTGTCTGTTGACTGGGTTAAAGGGTGAGGATGATGATGATGATGATGATGGCATTGCAGAAGCAACAATCTATAACTTATTTAAAATTGCAAGAAACAAATTCTGATTCTGATTATGATCTCAGTCATTGACCATCAGTGGAACAATCCATCATCTAACCTGCGAGCAAAATATAATTTTGTTAGTAGTTTATGAACTTCCAAACTACTACTACAGGATAGGTTCTGGTACCAGAATGATGCAGCACAGAAAGGGAACTTTTCAATTTCTTTTCTTGCTGCTTAAAGTAGAAGGATCATTCTTGCCTTTCCTAACAATAATGATTTAAGCATTTTGATTAAAATTAAAATAATGAAATATTATCATACGATGGGGTACCCAAAAGAACCGAACTAATTTTTCTGTGGGCAGAGCTTTTGTAGTACCGCATTTTGCCGCTATGAGCGCATAGAGCTAACATTCCTGAGTCGATAAGCTGACTACCGTTGCTTCAGAAGGTAAGGACTAGTTTTGGCAGAGTTTATAGTGACAACTGTTTTGTGTGATCGTCATTTTTGCAATGGCTGATTTTCGTGAACAGCATGCGGCGGTGAAATTCTGCTTTTTGCTCGGGAAAAGTGGAACAGAAACTCTTGAAATGTTAAAAACGGCGTACAAGGACGATGCTATGGGGAAAACTCAAGTGTTTGAGTGGTTTTCCTGTTTCAAAAATGGTGAGATGTCAATTGATGACAAACCTCGTTCTGGTCGTCCTTCCACAGCCCGAACACATGAAAATGTTGGAAAAATTCGTGAAATCATCAAGGAAGATCGACGACGGACCATTGAAGAAATTGTGGAGCTGTCGGGAGTGACTTGGAGCTCAGTTCAGCGAATTTTGACAGAAGATTTGGGAATGAAAAGGGTGGCTGCGAAATTCGTGCCACAACTGCTGACTGCTGAACAAAAACAAGGTCGCGTGGAAGCATGCTGTGCTTTGAAAGAAGAGTCCCGAAATGATCAAAACTTTTTTTTGTTTCCTCGAATGAAAAGAGATATGAAAGGAAAGCGTTTTGCTGATGTTGCTGAGGTGAAGGAAAAAACGACGGAGCCGCTGTCAAGCATCTCAAAAGATGAATTTAGACAATGTTTTGAAAAATGGAATAAAAGACTAGACAAGTGTATTAGTGTAAGTGGAGAGTACTTTGAAGGGAATTGAAGGTTTGTGCTTAAAATTTGAATAAATAAGTTTAAAAAAAAAATAAGTTCAGTTTCTTTTGGGTACCCCCTCGTACATTGTTTTCCTAGTATCTGTCTATATATGATATGTGAAATCTAGAAATTTCTTTGCTGAACATTCTGCCACATAAATATGTCTAACATTCAGTGAGGATTTGCATCTGATGTTACTGAAATTACCAACTATAGACTGATATCTTTATTGACAAGTTTCTCAAAATTATTTGAAATATTAGTGTTTAGTATGCTTAAACAGCATTTTATAAGAAATGATATCCTGGCTCCTGAGCAGTATGGCTTTCGTAAGGATGTTTCTACACAAAACACTGTTTTTAATCTAACTGATACTGTTCTTAAAGCATTGAACCATAAGGAGTTTGTGGTAGGTATTTTTTCTGATTTGACAAAGGCCTTTGATTGTGTCAGTCATGATCTGTTGATTCAAAAGTTGAAGATGTATAGAGTCAAAGGGCCTATTTTGAAATGGTTGGAGACTTATTTAAAAAATAGAATGCAAAAAGTTGTGCTGCATGCTTCTAATTTGACTACTACAATCTCTGAATGGAAATCTGTAAGGTTTGGTGTTCCGCAGGGATCTGTCCTGGGACCAATGTTGTTTAATGTTTATATTAATGATTTCCCAGGTACTCTTAAGGATATAGCACGTACTATTTTGTATGCTGATGAAACAACAATTTTAATTACTCAAATTACCTAAACTCTTTGAATATTAAATTAAATAGTTACGACTAGGTTTTCAAGCTGGTTTCGAAATAACAATCTGGTACTTAATTTGAGTAAAACTCACCTGATTAAATTTGTGACTCCTAAGTCTCCAGAGTAATTATCAGTAATATAAGATAATTTTAGACTTAAAGATGCTGATAATGTTAATTTTTTAAGTATGTCAACTTAATTGGAAAAAACAAACTGAAAAATTATTAAAGAAACAGAATACAGCGTGTTTCATGCTCAGGAAGTTACAGTCCCTTGTCAGTTAACAAGCTCTTTGAATGGTCTATTGTTCTCATTATCGGTATCAGCTTGAATATAGTATTATATTCTGGAGTTCTTCTCCAGTTATGAAAAGTTTATTTGTTGCCCAAAAAAGAATGATTAGGGTTATGCTGAGATTGAGTCCTGGAAAGTCTTGTAGAGAAGGTTTTAAGAGGTTGGATATTTTGACTGTTCCTAGCCTATATATCTATTCTATATTGGTGTTTGCTGTTAGAAATTGCAATTTTTTCAAACCAACAATAATATTCATCATATAAACACTAGACAGTTTGGAGCTCCATGAGTAAGTAAGTAAGTAAGTAAGTGAGTAAGCATGTATAACATTTAATAACTATATTCCTTGTGATTTTGTTTATGAATGACAATGTAAATTATGGTTATTTGGTGCTTTTGGTTGTGTGTGGTTGTTTGCTGTTGACACAGTTGTACTTCTGCAATCAAGTCTTATTTTGACGAGTTCAATATCCGGTCCAGTTTGGACAATGGATCAGTGAATTTATGAATTATGTATGTATGTATCTGGATAGGTATTTCTCAACTTGCAATATAAGTTCATAAATATTGTTGTAATTTGAAAGAAAATATTTCTTAGCCACATGTAGAAGTGCTCCTTGTACATCTATCCATCCATCAATCCAAGATACAAACTTTATCTAGTTACTGAAGTAAAGTGTAGTGATAGGGATAGTTAATACATGAATTATATTCATAGAAATTTATGAACATTTTATGAACCTATTTAACTCTAAAATGCTTACTGTGGTACATGGTAATACAAAATACCGTATTTATGCATGTATAGGCCGCACATTTTTTGCCAAAAATTCAAGAGGAAAACTGGGGTGCGGCTTATATTCGAAATATTCGAAATCACACTTCATTTAAAAAAAATTCTATTCATAATTAGTAATACAGGGTGTTCTACTCCTGAAATAATATTCCAAGAAAATTATTTTTTCTATAATTTCTGTCTGAAAATTGTGCTGCGGCCTATACACGCACGTGGCCTATACATGCGTAAATACGGTACTGTGATTTCATATGCTTTGGCAAAAGAACAGTGATACATATGCAGTACCATTTGTATATTATAGAAAATAAACAGTTCTTTGTGAAAGTTTGCATTTCCAAAAATGTTGCATAATGCTACAAAATAGGTACAATTCAAGTAGCACATTTAAAATGTTTGTTTAAAAAGTGTTATTTTGGATACATAGCTTTCATTCAGTAACATATGTTATGGTGTATGGGACACCACAACAAACAAAATTGTATTCTCCTTTAATGTAACTCAGTAGAGCATTCCTGAAATCAGGAGACATTCACTCACTCACCCATGGAGCTGAGCCCTTCTTGAGAAACCGCCAATTGTGCAGCTACTCAAGAACTTCCCAGCATTTTATGGAACCCAAAGGTTCGTTACTGTGTTCACAAGAGCCCTCCACCAGTCCCTATCCTGAGCCAGATCAGTCCAATCTATCCCATCCCACCCTGTCTCTCTAAGATCCATTTTAATATTGTTCACATACCTATGCCATGGTCTTCCAAGTGGTCTCTTTCCACCTGATTTTCCCATCAATATCCTATATGCATTCCTTTCCTCCCCCATTCGTGCTACATGCCCTGCCCACCTCATACTCCTTGACTTGATCATTCTAATTATCAGGAGACATACTGTGTTAATATTCCTGATCATCTTATTTGAAAATTCACATAAATATATGTCATTTTTTTAAATAGGCCATTCTGCATGGCACCAATGTGTAAACTCCAAACCATAAATGAACTTTTTTTTCCCCTCAAGAATTTATAACAAATCTAACTGCACAGTACTGTACATGTAACAGCATGGTCAGTTGGACTTCCCCATAACTATCAATATAAATTGTACAATAGACTCATAGAGCTTGGGGTACCCATGAAACTAGTTAGGCTGATTAAAATGTGTTTAAATGAAACATATAGTAAAGTCCATATAGGTAAACATTTGTCCAATAATTTCCCTATCCAGAATGGTCTAAAACAAGGAGATGCTTTGTTACCACTGCTTTTCAACTTTGCTTTAGAATATGCCATTAGAAGGTCCAGGAAAATGAGGTGGAAGTTAAATTAAGCGGGACACTTCAGTTGTTGGCCTATCCGGATGATGTGAATCTACTGGGTGATAATGTAGATACCATAAGGAGAAACACGGACTTTAATTGACGCTAGTAAGGAGGTTGGTCTAGAAGTAAACACTGAGAAAACTACATATATGTTGTTGTCCCATCACTGGGATGCAGGGTAAAATCATGACATAAAGATAAGTAACAGATGTTCTAAAAATGTGGCTCTGTTTAGATATTTGGGAATGACTATAACAAATCAAAACTTGATTCAGGAGGAAATTAAGAGGAAATTGAACTCGGGTAATGTTTGCTACCATTCAGGCCAGAACCTTTTGTCTTCTCATCCGCTGTCTAAAAACATAAAAATTAGAATACACAGAACTATAATTTTGCCCGTGTTTCTGTATGGGTGTGAAACTTGGTCTCTGACATAAACAGAGGAACACGGACTGAGGGTGTTTGAGAAAAGGGTGCTGAGGAGAATATTTGGACCGATGAGGGATGAAGTGACAGGAGGTTGGAGAAAACTGCACAATGAGGAGCTTCATAACTTGTATTCTTCTCCAAGTATAATTAGAATAATCAAGTCAAGGAGGATGAGGTTGGAAGGGCATGTAGCACAAATAGAGGAGAACAGGAATGCATATAGGATATTGGTGGGAAATCCAAAAGGAAAGAGACCACTGGGAGGATGAAGGAGTAGGTGGGTGGACAATATTAAAACGGACCTCAGAGAGATAGGATGGGATGGTATGGATTGGATTGATCTAGCTCAGGATAGGGACTATTAGAGGGCTCTTGTGAACGCGGTAATGAACCTTCGTGTTCCATAATATGATGTGAAGTTCTTGAGTAGCTGCACATTTGGCATCTTTTCAAGAAGGGCTCAGCTCCATGAGTGAGTGATTAATAAGTAATCAGACAAATATTGATGAAATCACCAAAGGGCTATGAAACTAAAGAAGAGACAACAGAAGAAGAAAATGTATCTCTGTATGATATATCAAGGACAAGTACATGTCTGACAGGAGCCAGTGCAATTTCCAATAATGAAAATGCATC